TTTATCACAGAACACTTCCCAGGTTCTCCAGCTGTTGCTTCTAAGGAGAGTCAAACTGATAACCCGTTTGTCCCTTGTCCCAGCGGTCTTTATATGCCCAGCCCCATGGCCAGGCCGGGGCCTGTGATGACAGCACGGCAGTCCTCTGCATAGGACAGAGGTGGCCACGCAGCGGCCCCACTGTCACGTCTTCTGTGAAGTGAGCTCCTACCTGCTGACTTGGGACTTCTCTGCTCACTATTAGGGTTAGTTTTTTCCCACTTACATGCTTTTTCAGTCCCTACGAAGATTACAGTTCACTGTGCAAATTTCTGGTCACTTTTCCAATGCAGAATCTCTTTGACTTCTGTTCTAGATACCCACTGTGCCTTGTTGTCTTTGGACGCCCTGACCGTGGGTGCTGTTTTGCCATCTGGGTGACAGGAGGCTGTGGCTGCCAATAGTGAGCCAAGGTGAGTTCTCACAGGCCCTGCCCTGGCTGCCCGCGGAGGAAGGCATGCGTGAGTGCTGTTTCTGTGCGAAGTGTTAGGACAGACGTCGAACACCAGCGACCTAGTAGGGGCCGTGCTAGAAGCACAGCTGCAAAGACAGGTCGATGCGTTCCCTGCCCTCACAGCGCACACAGTCTAGTGGCAGAGACAGACTCAGAACAGGTGACACCACCACATATCATTAGGGCGAGTGCCACCCCAGATTTGGGCCCCAGGTGCGGTGGGAGCCAGAGGAGAATGGGCTGAGCCCGTCTTGGTGTCACGAAGTGAGGGCTCGTTACGCTGTGAGCGACTCGTTGAAGCCTGATCTTCCACACAGGCACGCGTCTAACAGCTGGTGACACGGCAAGTTCCTTAGTGTTAGAGGCTATCAGTTGATGTCAGGATCCCTGCAGTGTTTTCACCTGCCCTGTGTTTAGGTAACATGAAATGGTCATAGAATTCTATGTCTGTTTCTCCTTTCTGTCTGTTTCTTTTTTTGTTCTCTAGTTTTCATATACTCTGCTTATCATTTTCAAAGGAATGTTTTGACTGATAAATGTTTGGTGACTCAGACCTAAAAATAGGGTTTTAGTAGTTTGAGATCGTGATTTACAAGATGCAGCTTTAACATTTAAATTGGATGGGAAAGAAAAATGGATTTACAAACATATAGGGTCTCAGGTGAAGGAAAGAACAAGAGGATTACGTAGACCTGCACGCCATTGCCGCCACTGCCGCCACTGGGATGGAAGCACTGCCTTTTCCCAACTTCCCATGGCCTTTCCCTCCCCTCTCAACTTACTCAAGACCCTCTCTGTGCTACGAGACCCTCTCTGTGCTACAAGACCCTCTCTGTGCTACGAGACCCTCTCTGTGAAGACCCGGTTCAGTGCTACCAGTATTTGAAGTGTCTTGCCTCCTCCACCAGATTGGGAGCCGCTGAGAAAAGGGAGCATTTATTATACCCCTTAATCCCTCCAGAGCATCTGGGACACAGGACATGGTAACTGCCTGGCCTGGGTTGCTCTTCTGGGTGCACCAGGCAGCGGCAATTCACGTGGGTATTACACAAAGCGGCGGGGACTTCCCATGGTATTTCTGCTCCTGGGCAGAAGCTAAAGCAATGTGGGGAAGGCCCAGATGCCAAAGCATGCCGGGACAGCAGGGCGCACAGGTCGGGGTGCCCATGCGACCTCTGCTATCTTTCTGGGGGATGTGTTCAAAGGGAATGGTTCCTTATCTGTTCTCTTTGGAAGCAAGAAGGGGGGCCAGTGTGTTCAATGATCTGAACGACAGCCAGTGCCTCTGGCAGAGCTCAACATGGTGTTGCCTCACTCTGCTCAGGGAGTTTATCTGGTGTTGCCCTTCGTTAAGGGCAAGACCAATGTTTCTCTAAATAAATCTCAGGCATTGTTGAAAAGCAACTGAAAGGTAAAATGGAAAGATTTCAAAACATTTTAACTCTGTGAATGTGATGACAAGGAAACCAACATCGTGTTAGTCTGATGCTCCTGGCTGGGGGAACGCACGTTTGCAGGAGCGAAGGGCGCTGTAGACAGACGCTTGCCTCGCAGAGCTGAGAGTGAGCAGGGGCGACATGGGAGGTGGCCGGAGCCCCAGCCGCAGGGCCCCCGCGCCAGCGTCTCGCTTTTCTATTAGGATGAACTTTATGGTTAATATAGTGAGTTAGTAACTGCAGCTTTTGAACTTTTTGTTCCTGGTGAAAAACACTTTAAGTAATACCCCATTGTCTTGTGTGCCGTTTGCAGGAAGCTTTCCTCAGCAATAATGCAGAATAAAGTATGATAGAAAAACGCACAGATGCACCGCTCCATTTATGCTCATAGATTAGAAAGTCTTTTAAATCGCATGAAAGGTTAATGGTTCTTTTCCACTTTTCCCTCTGTGTTGTTGTCAACTACAATAGTTTGTTAAAAGCTCTAAGCAGGAGATGTGAATTTCACAAAACCTTGTGAATTGTACCCATTTTTCATTTCTAGAGGAAGCCAAAATGTCCCTTCATCTTTGCACTGAAAGCTGTTGTTTACATGAAGCAAACCTAAAAGGTGAAAAAATTTTTACACGAGTGCCACTAATGGATGAGTATTTGCTTTGGAAAAGTGTCCTTTACTGTGTCAGAAGAGTCTGGGGTTCTGTGACCACTCTGTGGTGGCAGCTGCCTGCGTAGAGCCCCTGGCCGGTGGCAGTATACACCTCCTCAGGTCCTCTCCGTGATGTGAGCAGTGGGCTTCATTCACTGTGACCATTTTCAGATGGGAAAACAGTCCAGAAGCTATGTCACCTCCTCAGCCTCGCTGGGTGATTGGTGACTCAGTGGGGCTCAGGAAGGTGGACCAGCAGTGGGAGGGGCACTTCAGGCAGGTGACGCAGTGGTATTCCGTGTCGCTGGATTCCCACTGGGATAGATGGGCGGTGACGCGTGCACCATCAGGTGGGGACAGGTTCCAAAGCACTAGAGGACAGGAGACTGGGCTTCAGTCTGGAGGTCACAGGCAGTGGTTTAAGATACAGACCAACATGGGAAGAGCTACTGTTCTGTCACTGTACCCACATGGAGAGTGTCGCTTCGTTTGCTGGTTGAAATAGTCCAGCATTGTCTAGGGCTTGCCTGCTTAGACTTTTTAAACTCCACGAAGTATTTGTTTCTATACCTTCATTTTCTTTTTTTTTTTTGCCTTTTTGCCTTTTTTTCGTGACCGGCAACGGATCGCAACCCTCAGTG